GTCCCACTTAGAAACTTGGCTGAGCCCCAACCTCCTACCCTCGGGGCTCGGGTCAGGAACTCATCAATTATTTGTCGCTGAAACATTTCATCACGAGACTCGTTTTCACGGTCATTTTCACTTTTGTCGTCATCGCTGGGGATTTCGTTTTTATCGGTGGCTATAATGATCCATTAGCGAAGTGTTGAGGGGCGCAGTTTAATTTTTGCAGAGAGGCAACAATAACTTGTACTTACTGAATACAATTCCAACGTGCACTAGCTTGTTCCCAACCGTACAATGTATGTGCAGGGGAGGTAATCTCTGTTTATTTATTTAATTGTGTTGCTACGCCATTGGCATCTTATATATTTTTGTAGTCTGAGAGCGGTCCAAATCCTGATCTTGTTACTCCCTCATCTTGTTGACGTTTGTTTAATACCATCATTAAATCATTGCTCAGTGAAAATTGGCATCTGGGTCCCAAAGCTACAATTGGAATCGATACCAGAGATCCTCAGATTTGAATGTGAGCACATAGATGTTTTTGGAAGAGGGTTGTCATGGTTTTTATGTCCGACCTTCCCGTCTTCGTTCGTTTTGATTTTAAAATTACCTGTCTTAATATACCAATTGCATCTTCCATTCAACCCATCTGTACTTTTAAAGTGTATCAAAATAGCATTAACGACCCGCATAACCGCGGCGAGGTCAATACCTGGGCATACACTCATAAGAATTGAAGAATAGCGCATTATTTACATAACATAATTGATCCGAAGACGACAACAGTTTATCAAAACGACAAGTATCAAAGTCACTGTAAACGCCACACCATTAACGAGAATAGTTTCCCTTTGTTATCGAAACCCATCATCCATCATCCAATAACCAAATTCCCCTGACTCTAGACTCCATACCATCTGTCACTGTTCCTTCAAAGGGGTCCCACAATCGTTTAACCGTCGCGAACCGCGGAAAGTCACGATTTCGGGATTTTTCAAAAGACGGACAACAATGAAATGGGTCTATAGTCATTCGTATCACTTGTCGCGCCGTTGCAAATCTGTGATGAAAATAGTTGCGAAAGGAACGTTTCGTGGTCCTACAGAGGGGCGGTAATCAATCATCAGTGGGTAATAGTAGGGTCGATGTTGAGGTCGAAATAAATTAACTGTCGATAGTAACTCTCGCACGCGCACACACCACGATAACAGCTGACAAGGCTGACCCGCGGCCGTCACGTGACCCACGTATCAGGCCGTCCACTGATTAACACAGAACGTTATTACTTAAGTAAGAGTTCGCATGTCGATACAGTTTATGGGGTTTGTGTTTTGTGTTCCGAGGACGATGACATGTTTTGATTTCCACATTACACGTGGCGTGCTCTAGTTTTGCTGGTTAAAAGGTCGGTGTCAAATCGTTTTAAGATATAGGCCTAAATTATCTTAACATTTAAAAAACTGTCTTGTATGGGAATAAAACATAAAACATCTATTTTCGACGAATAATTAATTTATGTCTCCTGGCCCTTCGTCTACATAGAAGCCCAGTCCCAGGTCGAAGAAGAGTCTGGAGACAGGTTCCATCATACAGACTATAGCAGACCCTCATAGAACACCCTCAAAACTAAACCCAAGCCACATGGTCATGGGTGTGCGGTCTGCAGTAGCTGTCCGGTGGTCTACAGTCTCCATTAGTCGAAGTGATCAACCGTAGAGCACCGCAGGATACAGGATATAGGCTCAGGATCGGCGCCTTTGTAGGATTACGGCCTATCCGCTGCAGTGAGGCCAGGTTAAGCCGTCTTTTGATCGCGTCTCCTCAAGAGGAATAAGACTCGAGGTTGACGTCCTGATGAAAGTGAACCGAATAATCCTGAGCAACACTGCGTGCATAAAGCATGAATTTTCTACATTTTGAAATGGTTCAGTTTAAAAACTCCACTATATAGCAATTGTCCTGTATACTGCAAACTAGACGGATCGAAACATTGAAAAAAGAGGGATGAAAATTTAAACGATTTTATTAAATACATACCAGCGATTACAATTAATTCTGTGGTTGCTGATACATTCAAAATTCAAAGAGGTAAATTAATCGTTTCTAAGCCTAGTCAGCTGTGACAAACCAAATCGACACTGCATTTTTTCGCAAACAAGGAGAATCAGATCCATCTCAATTTATACCAAAGATACATAATAACCTATTCATAATGCTGTTTGTTTTAATGGATAAAAAAATGAACAATTAATTGATAAACGTCAATTTTACACGGATGATATGAAACCCACTAGACAGGCTAAAGGTATTGAACTAAAAGTATTTTTTATACCTAGGCTAAAAGAAGAGCTTCATTTCGGGACGTGAGTAAGCGATTGTGTCGGGTTTTAGACGCGTGTTGTCACACTCGTATGAGAGCTTACACACGTAACCCGGGCATCGCACTGCAACAAAGCCGCTGAATTATATAAAAGAAATTTAAAGATTTGTCAAAACATGAGGTAATCGTGAATATACCATTACCGTAAGATGGCAATCATATTTATACATTCACAACATCAAACTCAATTTTAAAACCACTGAGGCAATGTGTCGTTTTGCATACATTCAAGCATCAGGCTTAAAAATAGAAAATAAGTCGCATAAGTCGTACGAATAAGTATTACTACTACGGTGAGAAAAATCCAAAACTACAACAACAATGACATGGTGATGTAACTTTTATCAAAATAAACGTGTCGACCTTCTCCCAAAACCTCAGATTATGGAACAAAAGATTGTCCATGGTTCTTTGTGTATTCTTTTACTTTTGATCAGTTCTTTATCACACTCCTTTGTCTTTCGCTATCTGAGTCGACTTGTGCCGTGACGCACACCGCTCTCCCTACTATTGTTGGTGGTGAATGGCCAGTTTTTTAAGATGAAAAAATCTTTTTGGGTCTTTTCAATATAAGGACCGACACTATGCTTTCCCAATACAAGTAAGGTCAGGTCAGTTCAGGTTAGGTTAGATTAGGTTAAGCTATATTAGGCTAAGTTATGCTAGGTTAGGTTAGGCAAGGTTAGTAAGTTACATTCCTAAATATAATGGTTTATATTTACCTTCAGTCTCCAGTTACAAGTAAGTCGATTAATGCGACCTAGGTTTCAGCACGACGTTGTGCTATCTTCAGGCTTCCAGTCAAAAATGTTCAGTCCATTGGACGTCGTTTAGTAAAAACTATATACAGTTCACAAGACACAAACACATACACATTTACCGATCGGTATTTACAAGGGGAGAACGAGTGGACTGAACATTATTGACTGGAAGCCTGATGATAGCACAAGCTGAAACCTAAAAACCAGTTCAGGGGCAATTCCACATCCTATGATGTCAAAACTAGTTACATTCCCTTTATTTGCATAGCAAACTTTATAGTGGCGGTTCTCTCCTCGAAAATACCCATTTCTTTATTGGGGAGTCTCTATTGGCTAACTAAAAGACGAAAATTGGGGTTTATATAATCAATAAAAAAAACACAAAAAAGAGTATTTCTGCAAAACTTCAATTCTAATTGTGGGTATTAAGCGGTATTTATGCAAAACTTAAAACGAATTCTTTATGAGCAAAGTAGTTTCATCATATCATGTGTGAAAAAGGTATACGTGTGAGTTTATGTTTATGCTCTTCCGCCAACGTGATTAAAAAACGAGTCATATGAGTTTGTATGATGTTAAGGACTTTTAGTGGTTCTAAGAGGAACGCCACTATTCAAATTTGGCGCTAATAGGGTAGGGTCAGGTTTGGTTAAGTTGGGTTATGTTAGTTTACCCAACCTTCATTTCCATGGTAAAAATTGTAATAATGGCAACCCTCCTTGATACCCTTTGTAACTAATGATTACATAAACGTTATATTCGATATTTATAGTCAACGTTGCAGCCCAAGTAAGGGATATTTTCCCTTGTCTGTCTGTCCGTGCTGGCGCGGATGTCCGGGGGATTTTATAGTCACGAGGGGACTTCGTGCCTGTCGCATTTTGCACACCATTAAAATCCGCTAAACAACACAAGTACTTTGCCGGGTAAATCATGCGAGATACAGCGCTACACGACAGAGCTATAGACGTGGACAAGCTAAAATAGACCGTAGGCCTTGTGTCTTTAGGTCCACATTTGCTTGTCCAAGCCTATATAGTGTTGTATCATTAGTACCAGGTGTGTGTTCCACATCCGCAGAGTGATTTATGGGTTTATCTTATTCTAAATACCCCCGCCGCAGCAAACCTGCCGTCTAAGCGAATTTCCAGTTGGCTGAATTGATTTTCAATCGAGCTATTTAAATAACATTAGGTTTAACAAGTACCTAGGTTTGCTGCTACAAGGAAACTGATAAAGTGTGTGTTTTAAGTAAAATAATTATTGCTTAGTAGAAAATGAATATATTTGCCAAGTTTGAACAAAAGATATCCATAAACAAGCAAACTACAACATTTTACAATATTCTCCATAAGAATAACGTGGGAATTTTAAATTTACAATTTTTTTAGTTTTCTCCGTAACCAATAACCGTACAAAAACACTTTGATATACTGAATTGTTTGTTTTTTTAAGCTCTTTAAGAAGGTTTAGAGAAAAATTGGGAAATTTTGTGTTTTGAGGGTCAAAAGTGAGAAAAACCAATTTTTACCCCATAAAACCCTGTTCCCATGGTCCGATCATGCTGGATCGCGAACTCATTCAAGTTTATCCCGCCTTATACCTTCAAACCAAATTTCATCAAAATCGGATAAAAATTACTCAAGTTATCGTGTTCACGGACACATATATATATAAATCTATATATATATATATATATCTATATATATATATATATATACATATATAAAAATTTGAACGAATGGTGTTTTTGGCCTCTGGGGACATCAAAATGAAAAAGTAAATCGGTCCCGGGCCTAAGTCTTACCATGAGACCTACGGTAATAGCTACTTCCCTATAGGGAAATTCGCTAAAACAAATTATTATAACTCACCCTTTCCTGATTGATGACCAGACTGCTGTCCCGAACTCTCCAATGGCGCAGGAACTTTGCGACAATTTGAACCTGGAAAAATAGGTTATTACAGTTGTAGTAACCATGTGATACCTTTGGCTAGAAGTACTTAACAGTGTAATACGAAATTCTTTTCTGTGGTATAAAAAAACAGTCTAAATTTAATGTATATACTGTAGTATTCATTTCACCACTGACAGTATGTGTGATGCTGCTGTAACATACCCCGTTCTATTTCATTTTTCTAACTTATCCAGGTTAGAAAAATGGGAATGATAATATTATATGTATATGTATCAAAACCCTTCCTTGAAAATTAATATTTACACTACTTCAGGCTACGGTCTGGAGGGGATCACGGGAATATAAATATAACATAGATACAATTCATTGGTGAATAGCGGTATTTGAACCCGGAACCTCAAAGACCGAAGTCCAGGACCACTAGATTAGCTCACACCCCTCTTTAGTTTTAATCCAAAACTGAAGATATTTGGATGGTCATTTCAAACAATGGCATATTTTGTGTGGTCAGCTGTCATAGCATGAAAACTACGAGCAAATAGTAGTAGATTCGATAACAGGTGCATCCTTTTGTAGCTTAACTCTGATATAAGTCACTTGTGTTGGATTAAGATCGACATGACCTTCTTTTGCACAGTGAAAATTTAATAGAGGCGGCTATCATAAGATAGCCAACTGTATAAAAAAAATCTTTGTAGCCATTGATATAGACCATAGATACTAAAAAATCAAAATTCATAGTCAACGTGCCCCTAATTATAAATTACATAGGATGTTCAATTCTATCCAAAATCAATAGAAAATTCAATATTTTTCTAAGACAATTAGGAAATACCCCTTCACTTAGGATAAGGACTAGAAATAGTATACAACAATTCTTCCTAGATCTACATTTTCAAACACAATCTAGATCCAATCCTTGTATGCTTCCAAGGTAAAGAACGATTCTATTTGAGTTTGAGTGTAACTCAAATAATATTCAGACGAGCCTTCTAACACAAAGTAGCAATAGCTCGCGTATACGACGCCCTCAGTGACTGGCGACTGTCAACATCCCCTAGCTGGGGTTGCGAGTTGCGACACCGGAAGTAGTTCAGATCGCGGAAGTGGAAGTGAACGTCATCATTAGAGGAGATATAGAGTTGAGACGGCGCCACAGTCACTGTCACTGCTGTGTTCTACATTCTGTGTTGTGTTTTTTTCTGTTTCTCTGTTGGTTTTGTATATACAGAGTGTATACAAATCTCCAGGAAAATTAAGTGTATCTGTTTCTTAGATCGAATGATAGCATGGGTCTAGAAATCTGACTTAAAACTTGGTACTGTACATGTATGGTGAAAAAAGTATCAGATTTCTACTCCGTAACAATTCAAAATGGCGGTTTTATGATGTTTTTACTGTCACCACCTAACGTAAAAATACATAACAAACTTCCCATCGTCCAGGGGCTTTTTATACACCCTGTACATTGGGTACCATAAATATTTGATTAAACCCAAACTTTTTTAGTTGGACAGGTGATTTTATGAATACTAACAAATCTACCTGAATGTCTAACAATTGTTTATAATCATTTGAAAAATTAAATGAAAATTTATTGATTTACTTTTTGTCAATTGAGACAATTGTCATAATACAGTGATTATTTTAATCATCCATCATTTAATCGGAATTCTCAAGTTGGAAAAATAAATTTTTGTTGGTTAATCAATAATCATTATGTCCGTGATTGGGGGAAATCGCTTGAGAATAAGTCTCCAAACTGTTTATTTTCAAAATTGTAAATGCAGTACTGAAAATGGTTGTTATCACAAGTACAATTTTCCTAAACAACTTTATCACATTATGCAAGTGAGTAATTTATTTCTGTTAACAAACACAAATTAAAATCAATCCGAGTTTTAACAATTGTTATTTCAAATATTAATATTTTATACACAATTAGTGAATTAAGTTCAAACACTTTAAATCATTCATATGAGAAGGTAAGCAGAGCAATTGTACACTTCAATAGACAGTAATTGCAGTGTTAATCACTCGTGACCTTGACCTTGACATTGATCATCTCTTATCTTATCAGCTGGTCGCGACATATGTTATAACACCAATACACGTCAATGACGTCAATGGCGAATTACTTACTGTAGAGGTGAAGGTATGGAACCCGTTATCAAACCAGACTTACTAAAACTTTCAAGGCTGAATTACTGTAGTTTTTTGCACAACAGTTATTGGCATCGAAATGCAGTAGGTCACGAAATGGATCCATACGTTACATATATTTGTTAAATCATGTAATACTTGTTTAAGCAGGCTAGAAACTACAAACTGAATTGCAAAAAACAACTGGATTGGTTTTTGAATTGAAAATCTGAGAGTTTGTATATGAGAGTTTTTAATAAAATGCTAGCATAAAAGTTGCTAAATATTCTTTGTAGAATTTTGTTGCAACAATCAATTCAACACATACGAGACACATGACCTAATAGGGGTTTAGATTAATTGTGATGATTTTTAAATTATTTTCCTATAGGGTATATGGAGAAAGTATTGACTTAAAGAAACATATGGTTTGAGTTTTGGGTGGAAAATCTGTACAGAGCTATTTTACACCTTTGGTCCAGTTTTGACAAAATTTTGTACTGTATTTATATATGGCACCTATAGGCAGTTTACAAATGTTTTGACACTTCAATTATCGTCATTTTCCGATAAAACCCATCATATAACGAATTAAATCGCGTTAAAAAACCGCTCACACGATTTTTATTATAACTTTGTATATTATGGACCTTATAACTCTAAACGAAATGGTACAAACCCAATGATGTTAATTTACACTTCAAAGGTATTGCACTTTATCAATATAACATTTTGTAGTTAATCAAACCACTTACCCATGGTAAGAGGTTTCAAGAAGCTAATGGGAGAAAGTATGGGTCAGTTTGCTGATACCAACTATTTACTTGATCATAAAAGTAATCCACTAGGATACATTATAAACATCAATGTTAACTTTATGCTTTAAATTAACTGAAGCTATACCTAACTATGGAAAGCAATAAGCAGCTAACTGTTTTATCGAACCTCTTTAAGACGAATTTCAAAGGGCGGCGGAGAAAGATTCGTATTATCGAGGTATTCTAGACTGTTGTTATTCGTCATAGATGGAGGTTTTTCTCCTTGCACGGAGGCAATGACTAAGAAAGGAAGAGGGATAAGTGGGGGTTTCATGTTGAGACAATCTTCTGTTTGTTTTGAAAACTACGTACTATGGAGGTTAAGACAATGAGAAAATCCGTCTTTTATAGAGATCGCATTTGTCTTGTAGAGGTTTTGTGCTAAACAATATTCGTTGTATAGAGGTTAATCAGTCCTATCCCATGTCACAAACAAATTCGCCTTATGGAGGCTTTTAACATAATTACATTGTTATACGCTGTACAGAGGTGTTTTTAGCATCGACCTTTTGAAAGTTTCAATGGGGTTAAATAAATTCGTCTTATCGAGGAATTTGTTTTACCGAGGTTTGTACTAACGAGGTTGAACTGAATTCGAGTGAATGCGTTAAAATAAAATCCAGAAGTAAATAGTATTCATTCGCTTATCTATGTTTAAGACAAAATCAAATTTCATGAATCGTGCACACTGAATATTCATATCGCACGGTCTTCGCCCGGGGCAAAGAGAATAGACAATCAAGAACTGGCTTACTGGGAACTATATTGCTACAACCTCAGACCTGCACAAGATGAGGTTTATAAGAGCTCTGATACAACGTCAGATTACAATTTTTGCATGTATCAAGAAACATCCTGTAACTGGAAAGTATTGGACTTTCAAAATTCGCAGAAAAAATTTGAAAAAAATGTAACATGTAGCGAATCTTAAGGCATTTTTGATTACTACAAGATCTTGTTCGTTCCCCTTAAAGTATATCAATATAGAGGAACAATTATACTTTGGGTGAATCGAGAAAATGTCTTTATTGTGTACTAGCATAGAACGTAATTTTAGAACACATACTAACATAAGCAAACAGATGAATACGTTTTCCCATTAGCTTGTCCATCAACATTTGAACCGTAATTTTGAGGGCTGCAACATTTTGTTGACAGTTAAACAAGACCACAACATAATAAATAAAAACTGTGTAGTTTTTAAATCCGACTTTTCTTCAGTTCCGGTTATTTTATGGTAAAACCACCATACAAAATTTCAATACATGTAAAACACGCCAGAGGGGAAAACCCAAATACCACGTTTCGTCAAAATCGGACCACAAGAGTTGTCTGTCTGTAGAGACACACATCCACACACGCACAGACATCACTTCAAACCTTATTCTCGAGAATTTTGACGAAAACAATACTTCCTCCATAGGGAGAAAGTAAAAACTGTTGAAACGCACAAATAACGCTTGTAAAACTGCAACGTCACCGTCATTGCATTTCACCATGTACCAAATATGTAAAACAATTCCATAATGTAAACATTCGCATGCGGACGAGAGCGATTTGCACATCAGGGCAGCGCTAGCTCTTAATGGGGTGTGAAATATACGGTACAAAGTCGTGGTTGTGATTAATAAATTGACCGACACACAAGCTTGCTCTCACGCACTCACACTCGCACGCAGGCGCGCGGTGACGTCATCAGGTGACTCATATCATAATATGCAAGGTGATGTTATCAAACTATCCTGTCACTCAAAGCGAATGGTTAGGTTTAACACGTATGTGCCAAATGTTAATATTTTTCGTCTTATTGTTAAAGTTAATTTGCCCACTAAACCCAATAAAATAACTTAAATAGATCTTCGCAAAACTGGCTCTAAGAATTTTTATAAAAAAAATCGCAAACCCCACAACGCTGCAGAATTACAAATAACGGCTTCAAGAAACATTGCTATTAGTGACTTTTTACATATAAAAAAAGTTAGTTACTCCCTCTGTTACCTATTATAATACTTTTGCTTTTACCACAAGAGTATTTAGAATGTTCATTGTAGCAATTAATTGTGAGTG